TATCAATTGAATAGAATATAAATGTTATTTCTAATATTCACCAATTCAGAAATTTTATCTCTAATGAATTTTTTAAAAATTTTTCAGAAATTTACTTGAAGACATAAACAACCCTATATAGGATATCATGGGATGCAGGAGCAATGGATACCACTCAATAGTAGTCCTGTCCTGACTTAAGTTTCTTCTGTGAAGATGACTTAGAAAAGAGTCAGTCCAAACTAAAGCAGGAAGCATGAGGTTTTGAGACAACGGAACTGAAAAACTAATGATCAATGTCTTAGAGATATCTGGAGATCTTTACAGAAAAAGTTTGAGTCTATGCAAACTTAATTTTGGAAACATTCTCTTTGAATCACATAAGAATTGTTGCAACATATTTATAGAAAATCAATATTCTACTGTTATGTGAAAAACACTATTTAATGGGCTATGGACACAAAAGTTCTATTTGCTGTCAACATTCCAATTCAACTTTTATAAAAACAAACAACAGATAAAGTGTAAATATTTCTCTGTTGTGTTGATATTATAGAGAAAGGAGAATATAATGAGGGAAAGATGGGAATACTAATGTCTTTATCTTTTAATTAAGAGATAGTATGTATTGGTGGTGGTAAAGAATCATATTACCATAATATCTTTTCTACTGAGCAGTTACTTCTTCCTTCCAGATGTAATTTTCATAGCCTAAAGGAGAACACCTTAAGCTATTATATTGTGTTTGCTAAACAAATATATTGTCTCCATAACAATGCTTTTTGTGGGTCAAGAAATGGAGTATTAACGATTCTATTTGACTTTTTTGCTATAATAGATAAGGGCTTAGCTTGCATAACGTAATTTAAAAAATTGTATATGCCTCGATAAATGTGTAAATTATTAGAGGAAATGATGATATTTCAAAGAAGTAACTAAATATATCTTTACACATAAATATATACATAAGTATATATTTATGTATATTTAATAAATATATATATGCTCATATATATATATATATACATTATATATATATATATATATATGTATAAGGCATCCCCGGGTGGAACAAATGAACAAATGGTTAAGCAATGACTACTTAAGGCTGGTGGTTCAAACACACTCAAAAGTGCCTCAAGAATCAGATTGGGAACTGCTTCTGAAAAGTTGAAAAGTCAGTCTTGAAATCCCTATGAAATAGTTTTACTCTGCACATGTGATGTGGTCACCATGAGTTGGAATAGACTCAATGACAACTAACAATAACAACTTAAGATTTATATCAAGAATTATAGATACAAATTCTTTTATAAAAGTACTTTCAAACAAAATGATAAGGTGAATATGACACAGTACTATGTATGTTAAAGAAAATCAAGAAAGATAAAATCAAGAATTATAAATAGAAAAACATTTGTTTGACCAAAAATTTTCTTAGGTACGAATTAGTTGCCTATTGTAATTTACTACATATATATGTAATGGTGTACCACAGTATTCTAAATACTTTATGTATAGTAAATTGTTTAATCCTCACAATCATATGACCTAGGTCCTATATTATCACCATTTTACAGAAGAAACTAAAGCATAGAGAGGGTATAGTCCTATAAAGAAACCATTCAAAATGAGACAGAAACATTAATAAATATTTAAAAATTCTATGGAGCTTACCATAGTCTCAATCTGATGACTTCTTTTTGTAAACTCCCTTGAGGTTTTCATTGAATATTTTTCTTTATATTTGATATTTGTGACTTTAAAAGAGGCAAGGTAATAGAATGACTTATCACCTGAAAGATAAAATAAATGAAAGATATATGGTTAAATGGAAACAATGCCTTGTCCCTCAATAGTCCTCTATGCTCAGGAAATATGCTTATTATTAAACCTAAAAAAACAAAACCCACTTCCATCAAGTTGATTCTGACCCAAAGTGACCTACATTGGGTTTCCCAGGCCGTAAATATTTACAGAAGTAGATTTTCCTGTCTTTTTTCCATGGAGTGGCTGGTGGGTTTGAGTCGCCAACTATCTGGTTAGCAGTTAAATGCCTTAGACACTGTGCCAACAGAGCTCCTTATGCTTATTATAACACAGTTTATTTCTACTTAGTACAAAAATTATAATATATATTTTTAAAATAATTGGTAATTTCATATTAAAACAGAACATCCACACACTTAAATATACTTTCAGGATGTCCCATCTACAAATGTTTACATATATCAAATTTTTCACAATTGGACATGTAAGATAATGGAAAGTAAATATTAAAAGCAATTTTTCCACAATGAAATATCCCTCCACACTCACTAATACAGCTATGATTGAAAAAAAAAAAAAAAGAAGAAGAAGAAAGAAAGAAAATGAAAGGTTTTGGTGAGGATGTGGTGAAACCCTCACCCATTGTTGGTAGTATTGTAAAATAGTAAACCACTGTGGAAAATAGTCTGATGGTTCCACAAAAATTTAAACATAAAATTATCATATAATCCAGCTATTTCACTCCTAGATATATACCCAAAAGAATTGAAAGTAGGAATGCAAACAGATACTCTGCCCATGAGGTCACCATGAGTTGGAATAGACTCAACAGCAACTAACAATAACAGCTCAATGAACTATTGTTCGTTGAGCACTATTCACAATAACCAAAATGTGGAAACAGCCTAAATGTCCACCAACAAATG